CCACGCTCATCAATATTTGAAACATCATAATAACTCGCCGAGAGCGCTTCCAATGTTTTTGTATGGTACTTTATGGATATTAGTATAAAATTGGTTAATAATGCTTTTAAATCAGCTAATTTTCGTTGCTCAAAGTTATTGATTATATCATCGATCTCCTTGTTGGCGCGATTCACCTCTAGTTTGACCTTTAACAGGTCAGAATCCGCAGCCGCCTGAGGATTTAAATATGGATTAAGTATCTTGCGTGAGAGGCTTTAATTTTTTTTTTAACTCACATTGTTTGCCGAAAATTTGGATTTGATTTCCATTAATTGCTGTTGTTTCAACACTTCTTTATCGCGTGCAATTGTTGCTGTACGCAAGTTTTCCCGTGTGGTTTTGCAAAGGTTTTCAAATTGGCTTAACTCATTTACAATCTGCATATAAAATAATATAGTAGCAAGCGTTTGATATTAAAATTAATATTATTAAGACTCCCTTTTTTTTAAACGAAATGTTACTGTAGTGACAGAATAGATTTTATTTTCTTTATAGTCCATACCTTCATCTCTAATCGATGCACCAGCAAGTCCATATAATCAGCTTGAATAGTTATGGAAGTCGTAATAGAATTCAGACTATCACTTAAACTATAATTGATTTTTTCCTCTTCAGCGAAATTTTTGACTTTATGGCCCAAATCGTCGAAAGCATCACGATATCTGTAAAATATAATGGGCACTGCCATAAATATGTCTTAAGCATAATCTAGATCTCAGAAGTTTAACGCATATCTCATATTTAACGCAGCACACTCCAAAGAAATTGAACCAAATAAAATGCTGGAAACCTTGTTTCTACAACGAAGTTAGATTCCCAGTTTTTTTCATATTAGAGCTATAAAAAAAACATTCCCGCAGGGGTACGTGTAAGGGCCATTTTTTCAATGCCAGCTTAATCATAGATTAAGTAAACTGAGTTTAAATTGAACGGCTGGCTGACAATTGATTGTCTGATCTTAGTTTAAACCAACCAGATCGGATGTTTAAACTTAGTTCAAACCACGTCCGTGCACTGAAAAACTGGACCTAAGTGTCGGAAGCGGATGTGTTGTTGTGGCGGCACTCAGCCCTGCCTAGATCGGCTTGTTCCTCAATCGTTGTCGTCAAGCTCAACTAACGGAGGCCCAGGTAGCATGCAACTTCGACTGAGTTTGTCCATAGGGACAGAGGTGTTAGCTGAGTGGGATTGAGGAGACATGCAATGAGATGTGTTTTTCGTCAAATTCATTTCTTACAAGGACCTATGTCAGCTCATTTTTTTTAGTAAATTTCAGGAGCAGAATTTATTAGCACATTCTTCAAATGGTTTGGGCAGACTTGCTGGAATGACAGCGCTTGACCAAATTTGCATAAATCTGACTCGTCCCAGTCACGCGTATTCGGCTGCGGTAGGGACGGGCAGGGATTGGTGTTAGCCTTGACTTACTTTGCAATTTTCCTCGTACATGCCGCAAAGCTGACACATATTTCCAGCAAATGCTTCTCCGTCATGTTTATGCGGTCATTCATTACTTTGATGCGATCATCTTTGGTGCTAAGAAAATGCAATTTGCCGCGTTTGAACATGTTGAATTGCTTTATTATTTCTTTTAAATGTATATTTTTATTTCAACAAAATATCTAAAGATTAAAATAAATTTATTAAAAAGTTTTGCTATGTCTAATATTTATTTTTTTATTTCGAAACCATAGTAACGAGCAGTAACGAGTATTTTTTGACAGCGGCAGGAAATTATATTTATGCCTTAGGGCCATCTAGTGGGGGAAAGCGTAATAATTGATACACTGAAAAAAAAAAAAATTAAAAATCTATTAAATCAGATGGTTTTCCGACTAACTCTCGATTTTAGGCAGGGCTAAGCAGCCGCTACAATAACAACATGGTTGGTTACATTGACCCGTATGAATAAAAACTAAGCAAATAATAATAATAATGCTTACACAATATAAGATACTCTTGCACTAACACTACCTACTTTCAAGTTTTGATTAATTCTTGAAAAAGTTCCCTGCTCCCCCTCTCCAGAAGTTTTTCCCACGCAATCCTCCCTGGATGGAAAGTGGACAGAGAAGATGCTCCTGGAAGCAATTTCTGTGGCGCAATAATACGTTCGATGAGGTATGAAATCTAAGTCCTCCAGAACTCCATAATGTCTAGACTAACAGGCATGACTACCGTTTTATAGAGCCAATAGACAACTTTTAGGCGAAACAGCCCATCTCTTTCCAATAGCTACCCTACAGCATATATGTAAGACCACTGATGTCTTCCTTGCCCTTTGCTCGATGTTCTGTTTCCTGTCAACGATCAGGCCCAATATTTGTCACATAGCTGCAAGCGCTGACCGCTTACATAGGGAAGACCACCGTCAGGGATTTTATACTTTCTAATGAATATGACCAGTTCTGTCTTACTGGGATTGAGGCCTGTAGATCTACAATGAACGACCATCAGATAATACATATATTCCGTGCGAACAACCTCCTTGAGAACGTTTCCAATGAGAACAAATTAAGAACGAAAATTTCGAGAACGTTTTTAATAAGAATCAAATAGGAACTAAAGATTTCAGAACTTAACGTGAAGAATGACAGGGGCGTCTGCGATTCCTGATATATGAAGTTACAGACCTGCCAAAATACGGCTCTCCGGACTGCCACGGGATGCCTTCTGATGCCACCCAGCACCTCCTATATGACGGAGCCCAAATGCTCCCCGTAAAGGAGCACAACATAATGCTATTTAAGCAGTTCCTAGTAGGGTGTCACAGGCGTGGATATCCGAACAGACACCTGCTATAGAACTCTCGCGTATGGACGTCAGAAGGCATCTATACGAACTTACCGACGAAGTCCAGAGGTTCGTCAAACAACCCCTGAACCCGACAACCAGCGTGGGCATCCGAACAGACACCTGCTTGCTCCAAAGTCCTCGCCTAGAGACGTCAGAAGACATCTGTACGAACTTATGGACGCCCTCGGGATCCGACAACCAGCGTACCGACAGGACACCAACTCCCAACTTGTGATTGCCGCTTTTGTAACGCAGCCACCAGACGTGGCAGACGAAGTTCTGTCTCGCCTCGGGGGATGCGCACCACCATAGCCTAACTACGCTAGGGATACTGCAGCAGACTAAACTCCTACCTGAATAAAATAATGGGCAGATGTGCCCAATGAGTGCCCGGCATACGGAGAGTCACTTCCGAACACGCAACACTTCTTCGCATGGCCCCTAAACGCCATTCAACTAGCGCCCCTCTCCCTTTCGGCCAACCCAGTCTGGTCAGGGCTAAGTAAGCCGTTACAACAACAATACAACAAAGTACGTCGTGTATGTAATCTTTAAAGTTTATTTGCGCGGAATGTTGGCTGCTATGCTATTTGCTACTAACCATTTTGAAGTAATACAGCGAACATTTAATATATAAACCATTATTAATATTTTTTAATTTTAATTTAATTTTTATATTTTTGCAAAGGTGATATATTCATAACATAATTACATATAATAGTAGATACAGTTAAATATACGAGTAAGTGAAAAACAAATATTTACTTAAATAAGTTAACCTAAACAAAATTCAAAAAAATGTTTGCTGCTTAATGCAAAATATTTCTAAGTAAAGAGTAAGTTTTACTTTTTGTCTTAAAGTTGACAACACAAAACTGCGTTTTTTTCTTCAAACTTTTTTTTCAGTATTTTTGAGTTTTTGGTACTCGTTTTTTTTTTTATTTTTTAACGGTTATTTGCGGTAATAAAAAAATTACTTTTTTGTTTATTTTTTTTTACAATAATAAAGGCAAATTTTTCGTGTTGTATTTATGTCTATGAAAAAAGTAACAAAGTAATAGGCAATTAAACAATTATCAATAATATCATAACTTGTTTTGGTTGTTTTTTTTGCATGCATACATAAATGTTTATGCGTTAATTCATAGTAAAATTAAT